TGCAACTTGTTTTTTTTTGTTGGTGATTTCACTGTTTAAAATGGCTCCTCAGGTGCTGTCCAGTGTTCCTGAGTGAAGACACATGTGTAGATGAGCTTCCCTCATGCTTGGGTTTATGGTTCAGGGGTCCAGTGTTCACAAATCAACAGTATATATTAAATATGGTCTCTTTAAACAAAACCACCTAAAATAAAGTTAAGTATAGATTGGTTGACAAACATGTTGTGACCAGAGGCTTGCAGGGACCCAACTCTGTTTCTCCTGGGAATAATGGCTCACTATTTGCTAACCCAGTGCTCACGAGACTTGCAGAACCTAACTACTGCAGGCAAGAATGAGCTGTGGCTATGTTCCGTTTGTTGCATCCTAGAATCTGGCATTTGCTCTTAGATGGTCTTCACAAATTCTAATCCCACCCACACCCACTAAGTGAGGTTAACAAGAACGCAGACTATCGATGAGCCTGAATGTATGACTCAAACTTGATAACTGTGATTTCAACAGCTGCTTTCTCGTAACTGTCAGCGTGGTATCCCGGTGATAACCATGGTGGCATTGCAGCCTTGAGCAGCTGGTGGGAGAAACTTGGCCATCTTTCTCAAAGGCAGAGCCGTGAAGGTCTGACTCATGGGCAGCAAGGCCAACAGCTGCAGACTGTTTACACACAACTATTTACTGGATAAACCAGAGTTTACACAGTTGTGTGTTGTTTACTCCTTAAATCTAGAGAGGATCAAATGGTCAACCCTGAGCTTAAGAATTATGAGCTTACACCATGTAGTTTTCTACCAAAAAAGAAAATAATTAAGCTTCCTCATCTGATTTCCTCTACAAAATTGTGCTCCTACCATGAAGAAGAAAGGGAAAAGGAAGAGACAGAGCTCCTGTTGAGTTGGCATGGCTGGGCTGGAGGTCACAGGGCCCTGGGGAAAGTGACCCACTTCTCTGGATGCATTAGATACGCTTTTCCAGTGCCAGAAGAATTCGTCACAGCCCTTTGTTTCTATCAGTATTTCAGATTCTTTAAAATGTGTTTTGCTTTCTGTGCTGGGGTGTAGTAGAGGTGGAGCGAGCCGCTGCACGGGACACAAGACACACTCAGTTCTGTGTTTGTTGACCAGGAGCTTCCTGCATCACTGCAGCCTGGAGGCTGTATGCTCCGAGGGAATATCCGGAGAGTTTTTTTGGTTTTGGTCTCCTGCCTCTGCCTCTGCTATATGTCACCTTTGGTAAATGAAATATAATTAGTAACTTTAATTTCCATAGCAACACACATATTAATTGTATTAGGCTTAATTATAAGATTAGTAATTTAATTTCCTAATAAAAGAAGAAAAAAGAAAATTTAAAAGATCGCTAATTCCTTCACCATGTCCTAGGGTAACTTCTGTTCGTGTTGTTCATATCCCTCTAGTCTTTTTATCTTTAGGCTTAAAAACATTTAGACTTAAACACGTGAAACCTTCACTCTATTCCATCCACATCTCTGCATCAACACACGTTAAGGTTTATGAAAATCCTCCATGTCCTCAAAGGTGATTTGTTGGTGGTGGTGAGGGAGGCCCGGAGTTTGCCTGGAGGAACATGGTTTGGGGGCAGAGAGCTTTGCATTGATAACCTAGTTTGGGTGCTGATTAACCATGTAACTGGTTACTGAGCCTCCATTTCCCCATCTGTAAAATGGGCCAGTAACAACTGACAAATAAGGGAGGGTCAAGCATGCAGAGCAGTCTTGCCCAGGGAGAGGCACACACATCTAATAAATGCCAGTTGCTTTTCTGCTTCCTTTTTGTTCAAAAGAGCTATGCAAACATGTGGGATTGATGTTTTTAAACATTTTTAAGTAAGTTCTGCTATGATTTGTGGAGAGTTTTAAGTCATGGAAGGCTGAAACCATTGAAAACACCACTGGAAGATCTAAGAAACCCTTGCTTTCAAGTAAGGGAATTCTAGTTACATAGCCAAGAGCCTTTTAGTTCCACAGCATCTGCACTGAAGTTAGCAGACTTGTGTTACAGGCTTCATCTTTAGATAAACCAACACAGAGAAAACTTTTTTTCTCAGTTTTGGCAAGCGGCCACTGTGGGAGTTTTCTGGGTTTTGCAGGTTGGTGGCTTCTGCAGCCTGAGGTTGTGGGCGGATCTCCCAGTCTGCATGGCTCCCTCCGCTCTGGACTCCCATTTCCTTCCGTGAAGCATTGAATAGTGGCAGTCTTTGTTTTCCTCTGAAGCTCTATGGTTTAATTACAATTTATTCCCCCCAAGCTCTTTCTTTTACAACAACCTGGGATTTTCTCCAGACTTTGTTTTGCGCATTCTATGCATTTTCACACTAACGCTCATAAACTCACACAGCTCTTGTGCTCCCTTATCAGGGGCCATTTTCTTTTATGTGTTTTCCCCTGCCTGGTTTTATGACCAGGCCGGTCACGATTGGAATAAATCATTAAAAGCAGTAGACCTTAATCCACCTTTGTGCGAGAGTATTTCTTGTAAATAGAGTATTTCTTGTAAATAAACCAATCCTTTGTTTTCTAGTTTAATAAAAAAAATCATCAGTGCCTTGGAAAAATTAAAATGCAATTATTGGAAGGCTCTTTGCTTTGCTGTTTCCCCAGCATTGCATGTTACCTAATTAGAATGGAAAGTTGGGGATGCCCGTGCTGGGTGCTGAGGCAGCTGAGGCTGGGGAAGTGTTTGTGTGGCATTTAAGGTCTGCTGGTTCAGCAGCAGAGCCCATGGTGGCCGGGCGGGCCTGTGACAGCCAGCTCAGCACATCTGGCCTTGTTATGTCTCCCTCATTCTCTCCAGGCGACATCTCCAGGGTGTGCACATCTGATTGTTTCTAATTGATTCATTGACCCTGAGAGGCTGCATCCTGGGCTGGGTGGGTTCTCTGTGTGCACTGTATGTGTGCTGCGTGTGCATGCCATCAGGGTAGGTAGCAGCATTCCACCTACTCACTGGTGGACTTTTAGCAGCAGTTCCCAAAGAGTGTTTAAACAAACCCAGAATAATGACCATGAAGGCACCAAGAAGCCAGATCGTGTCCTTTCTGGTTGTCCTTTTGTTCCTTCCAGTAGTCTACCTTGCTGGATTAGGATGTCTACCTGCAAAAAAAAAAAAAAAAAGTATCTTGAGGCCAAATTTAGTTTATTTCTTTTTCATTTTTGTTTTTGAATTCTTCAACCTTGGCCAACCACATGACATGTTTCCAGATAAAAATAAATATGTAATATGGTACCCAGGCTCAGTGTGTGGAATGTAAGCCCTGGACCCGCATCTCTCTGGGCCAGGCAGTGTGAGCTTCCTCTGTGCCTCATGGAGGGGACCGAAAAGGGGGGTGGTATTCTGTGTGTGGCTGAGCTCTACGCATTTTGAACTTGATGTCCACAAAGAGGATGTTGATTTGCTCTTTGGGTGCAGGGAGGAGAAGTCATTTTTAATGGGATAGTGCCCCTGTCCTGTTCTCCCCACCTTCTGCCAACTCCTTCCCTCCCAAGGCACCTCATGCAGGTTAGTGGACAGAGTCCCTCAGAAGTGGATGACATGCAGCTCGGCAGGTGGATGGTGCCCATGGTGGAGAGCAGACACTCCTTCCTCAGGTGGCCACAGCTCATCCCGGGACATGGGGCTGGCAAGCAGGATCCAGCTGCTTTAGCTTCCGTCCATCCTATTGCTAGCTGCTGTGCGGGTGCTATGCCCCGGAGCCACTGCCAGCCCCACACCAGTGCGATCTCACAGTGAGGGGAGCACCGAGCCTCCTCCTCTAGCCACTCACGCCCCCATCTGCTCCTGCATCTCATGGGGGTATTGAGGGGCTGCTCTCAGAGAGGCTGCTGGCAACTGGAGGGTAGATGGCAGTTTTCCTAGGGGTCTGTTGAGATGAGCCCTGAGGTGTGTGGGTGGTGAGAGTGTCTGTCTGGGAAGCATGGAGAGCTGCAGTAGAGCCCTGGAGAGTCAGCCTCCGGCAGTGTGGCGGGTCTTGCCCTCCCTCTGCTGCGGCTGGCTGCCCAGCATTCCTCAGACGGGCCGTCCGGCCAAGGCCCCCGTGTTGTTCACACACATCCCTCTGCCAGAGCAGCCTTGCTGCCCTGGAACACTCCCATCCCTCCTCGGGCGGCTGGCCCACCATCCCTGCCAGCGCCTCCCGTCCTCTGTGAGCAGCCACTTGCACACGCCGCTGCCTTGCACCGTGTTCCTCCTGATGTGTGCCTGCTGCTCTTCCTTCTCAGGGTAAGCAAGTGTGTGCAGTGATGAGCAGTTGGCCTGCAGGCTCGTCCTTGGGGGGACTTCGAGGCCTTCACTCTCCCAACCTTCTCTCCACTCGTTCTGGGTCCTGGTCATGCTCTCTCCCTTGAGGGCTCCTGAAGCATTTTATGAACAATCTGCACTGCTTTCCATGGCCTGCTGTCCATGAGCGCCGCCCGGATCCAGGCTCACACCCTGAGAGCATCCACCCTCACAGAATGGGAAGGAGGTGCCTGGGGTGCAGTATTTCAGGAAGCCCTCCTTCTTGGGGGTGTGCAAGTGCAAGGTCAGCTCCTGAGAGGGAGAGCCTCCTTAAACTTTGCACACTGGGCGCCTTGCTTTGCAGGCTCACCTGGTCTCAGCCGTGGGTGCTGAAGTTAGACAGATAGGGCTTAAGATCCTAGCACTGAGTGCCAATTCTCGGGACCTTGGGAAAGTTACTTTTCCTCTCTGAACCTGGGTAATGAGGATTAAATTAGAAGATATGTGTAAACTGTTCAGCACACTGCCCGAAACGTGTTAAATGCTTGATGTTTGTAGTTATTATTGTTGTTGTTGTTGGGTGAATATACAAGCATCATACACAAACCCATCTCATATGAGCTCTGGACTCGGAGGTCCAGCTCTGTGGTCAGCATCGTCCCAGTTTGCCCCTCTCCTGATCATGCGTGATGTTGACCACGTGGGCTTGCCTGGCAAGGTCACAGCCTCCCGCGTTCTAAGAGGATGTGCTCTGTGTCTCTGCTGCAGGAATTGCTTACTTAGGAGGCGTGTGCAGCGCTAAAAGGAAGTGTGTGCTTGCCGAGGACAACGGGCTCAACTTGGCTTTTACCATCGCTCATGAGCTGGGCCACAAGTAAGTATCGGACTCCGTGTTGTTTTGCTTTTTAAAATTCCTTTCTAGATGCTTGTTTTTCACTTAAATTCTGTAAGTTCTAAAACAGTGCTGCTCTCTGACTTGCTTCTAACACAATAAAGGAGCTAGGCTGGCTGGTAAGTCAGGGTCCTAGCCCTACAGGGAACCCGTGAGATTGCTGAACAGGCTGGCTGGGAGAGTTGAAATGCTGATTTGATGCTCGTGTCTATTCTTAAAGCCAACACAGCAAAGGGAAGAGGTTTTTCTCAAAGTGTCTTATTCATTTATATTTCCTTTTCTGGATCAGCGTGATGGAATTTATCCTTATACTATTGATTTCCTATTTTCTTTTCAGCCAGTTTCAAAGTCCAACTCTCTGAATGTAGAATTCAGTGCCTTCGTCTAAAAGAATGAATACCTACTGCCTTTGCACATGGAAATTCTTCCCTTTAGGATGAAATAACCATAGAGCCTTAGAGCCCAGAGATGCTTTAGTGAGAATCTCAGGCAAAGGGTCAGAGGGGTTGAGTGGCTGGACCAAGGTTGTGATTGCCTGCAGGAAGTCTCAGGTGGCAGAAAGCCAGCCAACTCTAAGACTGTGGCCCGAGGGTTTACTCTTTCTCCTGCTGTAGGTGTCTGTTTCTCTGAAGGAAAAATTGTGATATGACTGCTTAGGAACTTTAAAAAAAAAATTAAATTGAGGAGGCCAGAGCATGCAAAACAGTGGGGAAATTTATATTGGATTGAATAGAACATAATTAAATGGAAATCTAGTTTTGGGGGGAAAATAATATTGTGAGGTTTTCTAATGACCTACATATTAAGATGCCTGGGGCGTTGTCAACTCTACTTTGCAAAAGCAAAGTTAGCATATGAGAAGGACTGAAAACAACAGATTTCTTTTTTTTTTTTTTTTTTTTTTTTTTTGTCCTTTTTGAGACTGGCCGCACCGCGCTCAGCCAGCGAGCGCTGTGAGCGCACCAGTCATCCCTATATAAGATCCGAACCCGCGGCGGGAGCGCTGCTGCGCTCCCAGTGCCGCACTCTCCAGAGTGCGCCACGGGCTCGGCCCAAAACAACTGATTTCTAATATTAGCTGTATCTGTTTTGTTTTGTTTACCTGGTCCCATTTAATTTTTTCTTCTCCTGTAGAGGGATTTGGTAGTTGGTTTTTCGGTATCTGTTGGATATCATGAGGAGGTACAGAGTGGAAATAATGTTATATGTATTCCTGGGATTAAGGAGGAAATCACATGCTATTGGCCCAGGGCCTACTGAATGAGCAGTTTTCTCTAAGTACACAATTATTTCATCTTGACAATGTTTGTTTAAATGTCGGTGACAACAATTTGCCCTTCCTGCTTTTTAAACTGAGTGTAATCAAATTTGTGTTAATACTTCTGAGCTGGTAAGAACCTGTACCAAGAATGATTTGCTAGAAAAAAAGCTTTGGCAAACAACTTTCCACTATCAAAAGACCCAACCAGCCCATCATAGGACCTAGGAATCGACTACCTAATAGTTGTAGGAATGTAGAGTTGTCAAAATATTTTCCAGTGTCCAAGTTGTTATGGACCATGGAATAGTCATTTAAATAAGTTGATTTGAGCTATAGTTATGTGAATTGCAGCATCCCACAGCAGCATTCAGCTCAGGCACGTGTTGGAGTGCTGTTTGCACACACTTGTGGGCACACATGCTCTTCATAGAGTTCTTTTCTCCAACATTAGAACACAGAGGGCCATTATCTCCCCGATGACCTGTTTGATTGTGCTTGGATCAAACACTGGCTTCTTAGTACAAAAGGTCTACAAAGATGAATGGTTAGATTCAGTCCTACTTTACTACCCTTTAGCTACAGTCTGTTTAGAATTTCTTGGAGGACTCTTTATAGCTTGCTATTGATGTCTAATTGCCTACAAAAACAAACACCTTATTGTTAATCAAAGCCAATAAATCCTGCTAGCCTTTGGCCCTCCCCCTCACTGCGTAATTATGGTTTTCCCAGGGAAGTCTGTTTTCTCTGATTATTCGCAAGTGTTGGGCAAAACCACATCCTCCCCATCGTCAGGCCTCTGGTCACCAGAACTCAGAGCAGTAGCGAGGCTGTGTGGACTGCTTGAAAAGGCCCGGACCACCCTGCACTCTCAGTGAAGTCACTGGCCAAGCTGCTTCACAGATACAAAACCTGAAATCAGTTTCATATTTTGGAATTGAATGGACCAATTTAACTCTGTGTTCCTTAACATATGTCAAGAAGTTTCCCAGATGGCTCATGCCAGGGGCCCCTGTGATTGAATACTGTAAGTGAAGCATCTCTTCTGAAGGTCGGGCATGTGCCTTTGCACACGCATAGGTGTTGCTCTTCTGTTATTTCCCTAACATGCCTCATAGGAGGATCACTATGAGCAGCTACCCTTAGACCCGAATATCAGGAGAAAAAAATCACGTTCCACATGAGCTGCATGTTCCATTTATCAAACAATGAGTCACATAAGTTAACATGATTTTGTTTCTGCTTTGGCTCTCTGAAGACACAAACCTAAATTCAGGGCTCATTTTTAGCAATTAACTCATCTGTGTCCTGGAATTGTACTTCCCTCCTCTTCTCTTTTTAGTGTCTCTTCGTATGCATAATTTTACTTTAAATGGTTTAAATGTAATTTATTTGGTACTGTAAATTGGCTCCAATCCAATTTGTAATCAAATAGGCCCTAAATTGTAAATTAAATAAGAAATTCTTGCCATGGTAATGTCAGTAATGCTGCCTTGGACGTGAGTTACTAATATGCTAATGGTTTTCAAGTGAAATCAGATCTCTCATTTATTGAGCACCTCCTACATGCCAGGTACTGTGTTAGACGCTGTGCATTCGTTACGCAATTTTATCAGTCTTATGAGGTGAGTGTTACTTATCTTTTACTTTATAGGTTAGGAAACGAGTATTACTTTTTAAAAAAATTTTTGTTTCTATTAACATCATTTAGGATTACTTGTATGATAATACATGAACGCATTAAAACAATGATCCAAATTATGAGAGATAAGTAATAAAGATGAGAAGTTGTATATTCAGAAACCAAGGTAGCTTCAGTTTAAGTGAAATAAATGCCATGATTTAGCTGCTAGCTGGCAAAAGAGTGAACATGTCATCTAGAAGGGCTCCCAGGAGACTCCAGCATCGTGGATGAGATGGACAGCTTTCTCATGCTCCACCCTGACAGAAGAGTAGGCTGGAGAAGATTCCCATCCCTGGCTGTAGACAGGAGCTGGAGAGTTTGCAAAGCCCTGTGCAGGTTGTAGGTGAGGACCTGGGATGGGCCCACTGTGTTGCTGTCAGATGGCGAGTTAGCTCAGAGCCATGTCAGCAACAGCTTTGAGGTTTCTGAATGAGCATCCATGACCTCGTTTGCCTGCTTGCACTTGGAAGACTGTTCCAATAGGCAGATAATGTACGTGCAACCTTTTGGTTTATCTCGTGAATAGAATTGTTGGCTGTGTAAGTTTGGGGAGGGCAGCTGTCTCCCCATCTTGCAGTGATAGCTAGAGAAACCTATGTTAAAACGGGTGGTTTTAGCCAGTGTCATCTTCTGCCTTTTTCCATCCTCCAGGGACCTTTAGAAAGTGATAGCTCCTGAGCATGGGAGGATGGCTACAAGCGCGGGGGCATTTCGTCGAGTGGGCCAGTGCTCCCCAGGTTGTTTCCCTCAAGAAACCCTCACAGGGTGCCTTTTGTGGAAGTCAGCATCCAAGATGCTCATCAATATTTGGTTTTAAAGAGAAAGAGGGAACGCTAGAAGCAGGTGTCTGTTTCTCTCTGACAGACCCAGGCTTTCAAGGCTCAGCCCCGGCTGGTGATGGGAAGGACCATCCCCTGATGAGGGTAGAAGCTCAGGTCCATGCTGCTTGCCCATGAGAAAAAGCAAACAAAAAGTCACACGATACCTTCCTGCCTCGAGGAGGGAGTCAGGAGTGACCGTAGCATGATATTTAAGATGACTGGGTAAAGTACATCGATTGGGATTGTACAATGTACTGTTATGACTTGGAAGTTACAGTGTAAAGAGAGAAAGTAAATGGTACTGTGAAAGGTGGGAGAGAAGGACGGTCTAACATGACACCATCAGGCCCAGGGGCACATGGTTGGCAGGAGTTTATTTGTGCTCGTGCAGTTGGAGGCCAGGAGGGCACAGAACCGGGTCTCAGCGGGACACCTGGGCCCAGGGAAACCCAGAACCCTGTGCACACAGCATGCTTCTCAGGCAAAGCAGCGAGCTCCTGGGAAATGTCTAGATATAAGGCCTTCTAGGTGGAGTGACCGGAGAAGGGGACCACCTATTCAGAAGAAAAAAGGACATTTCTTTATATACAGAAAGAAAAAGCTTTCCCTTTGCCGAAAATAAATCTCTGCTTCTGATGAATGCAGAAGGCTTTGTTAGATAAGCCTGTGGATGAGGTCTGAAATAGATCAGGGCTAGAGCAGTGCCTGCTGGGAGAGCCAGAACCAACCACGTGACCTGTCCGGTCTGAGTGAATTACTAAAGGTTCTCCAGACAGCACCAGCACCGCACCAGCCATCAGCCTGGCTGCTTATGTTCAGAGTGGAGGTTCTCCTGACCTGCTCTTCCTGGAGCCTTTCCAGGCCGGGTCAAAGAACTCTCTTCTCTTTCCATTCTAGAATGTACCTCTCCTCTGGTCGGCAGGCTGGGCCTGTGGCTTCTGAAAAGCACTCTGCATGGAAGCTTGGCACATGGTTTAGGTGATGTCAGAGCCATGCCGCACAGGGGAACAGCAGAGCATTTGGAATGTCAGTGGCCACACCTCACCCTCCTTCAGTCAAACCACATGCCTGGGGGTGGGGGGGGAGGAAGCTGAGCAAGACTCTCAGGAGATTCTGAGCATCCCTGGGGAGAACTGCTGCAGATGCGGCATGGGAGCTGTCTCCTCATTGCTCTTTCTGGCCTCATCCACCTTCTTGCTGCCACCTCTGTCCCCGCACC